GGGAGAGACAACTACGGCTGTGTACAGTGCCTGTGCAGTCTTGTGCTGTCCAAAGTGCTCGCGTTCGTCTATTGGCAGGGAGTTGCGAATAGCGAAGCGAGTGTGGGCATCACGAGTCTGCCACTGTGAGCGAACAGTGCTGTCAGCAGTAGCAGCAGGGGCAGTGACATGGCCTAGGGCGTGATCGTATAGTGAGATGTCATCCTTGGCTGTGAGCTGTAGGTAGAGGTGCAGGTCATCGAGCCAGGTGTCAAACTTCACAGGGCGGCCCTCAGCATCGAACACGAGAACCTGTGGGCTAGCCATAGGAACAGTAGAAATAGCAGCAGTAGCAGTAGGAGGAGCAGGTAGGACGAACCAGGTAGGGCAGGGCGGCGCGGCTCGGTTCAGGTCGGGGCGCGGCTCGGCTGGGTGGCGCGGCTCGGCTCAGGGCGCGCGGCTCGGCTCGGGGCGCGCGGCTCGGCTCGGGGCGCGCGGCTCGGGTCGCTTAGCTCGGGTCACGGCGGGAACGGGCCGCCCGGGGCCTCCAGGTGGTGAGCACGGGCCGGCGAGGTCGGCGTGGGGCCGGTTGGGGCCCTAGAGGGGCGAGCACGGGGCCGATCGGGGCCTGAGCGGGGCTGGCGCGGGGCCGACGGGGCCTGAGACGGGGCCGACGGGGCCTGAACGGGGCTAGCGCGGGGCCAAACGGGGCCGAGACGGGGCTAGCAGCGGGGCCGACGGGGCTTGAAACGGGGCCAACGGGGCCTGAAGCGGGGCTAGCGCGGGCCGACGGGGCCTGAGAGAGGCTAGCGCGGGGCCGACGGGGCCTGAACGGGGCTAGCGTGGGGCCGATCATGGCCTGAATGGGGCTAGCTCGGGGCCGACGGGGCCTGAAACGGGGCTAGCGCGGGCCGACGGGGCCTGAAACGGGGCCTACGTGGCCTGAAACGGGGCTAGCGCGGGCCGACGGGGCCTGAAACGGGGCTGACGGGGCCTGAGACGGGACCGACGGGGCCTGAAACGGGGCTAGCGCGGGCCGACGAGGCCTGAAAACGGGGCTAGCGCGGGCCGACGGGGCCTGAGACGGGGCTAGCGCGGGCCGACGGGGCCTGAGAGGGGCTAGTGCGGGGCCGACGGGGCCTGAAACGGGGCCGCTAGGGAGAGCGGGCGTGGGGCCGACGGGGCCTGAACGGGGCTAGCGCGGGGCCGTCAAGAGGGGCCTCTAGGGGCGGGACACGCCGAGGCGCCCTAGGGCACAGGTAGGTAGGTAGGTAGGTAGTTAGGTACGTAGTGGTGGGCCCTTAGAAAATTTCGGTCCTAGGAAGGACCTGCTCTATACCATGTTGGAATAATTGAACAGGAATGAATGGACTAGCAGTGAAAACAGTACAAGTACCTAACCCTAGAATTGTGTACCCCCTATAGGCTAACCCACTGTAGCCTAAACTAACACAACATATATAATGTTTGACAAGGCGATGGGCTGCAAACCGCGTCCGTGATCTTGCATCAGTACTGCTCCGACTGCTTGGTCACTAGCGTCTGCTTCCACCACGTAGTCCTTGTCTGGATTTGGCAAGATGAGTACTGGTGCTGTAGTCAGTGCTGTCTGTAGCTGCTCCATGGCTTGCAAATGAGGGGTATCCCGTTTGTAGGGCGTATCCTTTTTCAGTAGGTCGGTCAATGGCGCTGCTATCTTAGCGTACTGCGGCACGAACCTGTTGTAGTAGTTGGCGAAGCCTAGGAACTGCTGCAACTCCTTCATGTTCTCCGGTACTTTCCACTTAACGGCTTCGATCTTCCGCGGGTCCACGTGTACGCCCTCGGCACTCACCATGTGCAAAAGAAACTGCACCTTCTTCAGGGCGAAGTCGCTCTTCGATATCTTCACGTAGAACTTGTTTTTCCGCAGGATCTCGAACACCTTCCGCAGATGCTCCACGTGCTCCTTCATGTTCTTGGAGTAGATAAGAATGTCCTCCAAGTACACCACTACACACTCGCCCAGTAGGGGACGTAAGATGTGATTCATAGCCGCCTGAAACGTTGCTGGTGCGTTGCAGAGTCTGAACGGCATCACCAAGTATTCGCAGGAGCCGTATCTGGTACGGAACGCCGTCTTGTGGATCGAGTTGTCCGCCATCTTGATCTGCCAGTAACCCGACCGTAGGTCCAACTTCAAAAAGACTGTTGCACCACGCAGTTGGTCCAGTAGGTCGTCTATGCGCGGTATGGGGTATTTGTTTTTAACTATCTGTTTGTTCAGTGCACAGTAGTCGATGCACATCCGTAGACTGCCGTCTGGTTTTGGAGTGAAGAGGACTGGTGCACCGTAGGGAGAGGTGGATGGGCGGATCGGTTGTCTGTCCAGTAGATACTCTATCTGTTTCTTCATGTCTGTCAGCTCGGTCGGACTCAGTCGGTATGGTGCACGTGAGACGGGTTTCGCACCTGGTTCCTACACGATCTCGTGCTCATGGGTGCGTGCTGGAGGTACGCCTGCGGGTTGGTCGTCAGGCATTATATCCTTGTACTGTGCCAACACCCCATTGTCAGAACATTATAGCTTATGCTTTTGAGTAGGCTATAGTGGGGTATCCCATAGGGGGTACAACCCAATTAGGGTTAGTACTTGTACCCACTTTGCTCATAGTTCATCCATTCTCGTTCTCATTATCACATGGAATCAGAGCAGGTCCCCTCCTAGGGACTGTTTCTTGGGCCCACCGAAGCGCGCCCCGAGGCGCGCGTTTTTTTTAGCGACCCGTAGTGTCGCCCTCCCCCCCTCCCAGCGGCCCGTCGCGCCGCCTTTCGGTCGCGGCCCCGCCGCCCTACTCTAGCGGCCCCGCCGCCCTACGTCGCGGCCCCGCCGCCCTACCCTTCGACGGCGCCGCCGCCCTAAGTCGCGGCCCCGCCGCCCTACTTCGACGGCCCCGCCGCCCTACGTCACGGCCCTGCCGCCCTACCCTACGTCGCGGCCCCGCCGCCCTACCCTTCGACGGCGCCGCCGCCCTACGTCGCGGCCCCGCCGCCCTACTTCGACGGCCCTGCCGCCCTACGTCGCGGCCTCGCCGCCCTACTTCGACGGCCCCGCCGCCCTACCCTACGTTGCGGCCCCGCCGCCCTACCCTTCGACGGCGCCGCCGCCCTACGTAGCGGCCCCGCCGCCCTACTTCGACGGCCCCGCCGCCCTACGTTGCGGCCCCGCCGCCCTACTTTGACGGCCCCGCCGCCCTACGTCGAGGCCCCGCCGCCCTACCCTACTTCGCGGCCACGCCGCCCTACGTTGCGGCCCCACCGCCCTACCCTACATCGACGGCCCCGCCGCCCTACTCAGCGGCCCGCCAGCCGCCCTACCTGCGGCCCACCCGCCGCCCGACCGCCGGGTCGCCCAGCCGCTGAGCCGCCGTGCCGCCCAGCAGCCGACAGCCGAGCCGCCGAGCCGCCCAGCAGCCGAGCAGCCGAGCCGCCGCGCAGCCAAGCCGCCCCGCAGCCGAGCCGCCGAGCAGCCGAGCCGCCCCGCAGCCGAGCCGCCCCGCAGCCGAGCCGCCCAGTAGCCGAGCAGCCGAGCCGCCGAGCAGCCGAGCCGCCCCGCAGCCGAGCCGCCGGCCGCTGAGCTGCCCTACTTCCATACGGCCCGTTCTACCCAGCCTAGTGAGCACCGAGCCTTCTTTTTCACTGCGCTGCCCTCACCCTACTGCTTGCACTGCTAGGCGTCTGTCGTCATGGCTACCCCCAGTGTCCTCGCTTTTGACGCTGAGGGTCGGGCCATTGACTTTGACGTCTGGGTAGATGAGCTACAGCTTTTCCTACAGTGCGATCAGGAAGACGGTCTCTCCCTCTTTGACCTCACCTCTGATGCCTCTCTTGCCCCTGCGGCTGATGCCGACGCCAATGTTCGCTCACAGTGGGCCACACGTGATGCTGCTGCACGTCTTGCTGTGCGTCGCCCCCTACCTACCTCTGAGCGTGCGCACTTTAGCCAGTACAAGAGTGCTCAGACCTTGTACGACGCTGTAGTTGCGCGCTACTCTTCCCCTGCCACTACTGCACTGAACCGCCTCATGCTACCGTACCTCTTCCCTGACCTTGCTACGTTTCCCACAGTTGTTGACCTCATTCCGCACCTCCGCACTAGTGACACTCGCTACCGCGCTGCGCTTCCTGCTGAGTTCTGCGCCAAGAACCCCCCCCCCATGTACATCACCCTCTACTACATAGTTACCCGGCTCCCTGACTCCCTTCGCGTAGTCAGGGACCACTTCCTCTCAGTTTGCCCCACCACGCTCACCGTTGACCTCCTCAAGAAGGCCCTCCTCGGAGCAGAGAAGAGCATAGTCGCTGTAGGAGCCTCTCGTGGTGACCCTCGCACCCCCGTCTTTGAGGGGTGTTCCCCCTCCCCCCTTTTGCCCAGGGTTGCCCAGGGTTTCGGTTTTTACGTAATTCCCGCAACTGCATGCGGCGCGGCTCCCTAGCTCAATGGCTCAGATCAGATTCCCTCCCCCCCCCTTCTCCCCTCCCCATCGCCTCCCTGTAACCCCCTTCCCTCTCTCGTGAACTTCCCCTTCTCCCTTCCCGCTGCTTTGTCTCTGCCTCCCCCAGTACTTCGCTTCGCGCGCGCCACGGGTGACGTGGGCACTCTATCCGCCGTCGATTCCAAGCTGCTCGCGCTCGCAGTGACGGAAGAAATTCGGTCTCACGGCCGCGCGAATCTCCGCGCCGCCCCCGCCCGCCCGGTGTTTCAGAAGAGGACAAACGTCGCGATGCGCCAGGCGCTGCCCGGGTGGGGCGCGGAAAACGTGGCGAATCCGGATGAGTGGGCGGGAATTGACGCGGTAGCGGACGATGGGGGGAGCGGGAAGGAAAAGCGGAAAGGGCTAGGTGGATTGCGGATTTTAGGGGTGAGGGTTTTGGGGGAGGGGGATGAGAACGCGGAAGGTGAAGAAAAGGGGGAGGAGGCGGGGGAGACGGAGACTGGCGGGAACGGGGGCGCGGAGAGTGTGGAGGCGGAGCTTCAGCAGATGAACCTGGGCGGAAATAGGGAAGCAGGGGAAGGGGGGAAAGGAGCGAAAGATGAGGCGCGGAAGGGTGGAGGCGGGGAAGCGGAGCAGGCGGGGGAAATGCCCGGGTGGGAGACAGTTGGGGGGGGAAGGGGGAGAGGCGGGGGAAGAGGGAGAGGGGGACGCAGATGGGCGCCTCGGGAAATAAAGCCGGTCGTAGCTGAAGAGCGGTTTGAGGGAAAATTAGTAGTGGCTGGAGTAGACGCCTCTAAGCGGGGAGAGCCAGCTGACGTGGCGGGTGGGCATGCTGACTCAGCAGGACGAGCAGCAGGAGAGGAGGGAGAGGGAGAGGAGGGAGCGGGTGAGGAGGAGGACGAGGGGGAGTGGGAGGCGGCGAGGGGGAAGAGCGGGCGGCGGAGGTGGAAGCGCAGAGCAGGGAAGCGCGCTGCCATGGAGGAGCTGGCGCGCATTGCGCAGGAGCAGGCGCAGCGCGCAGCCGCGCTGGCGGGAGGGGCAGTAGCAGCAGGGGGTGATGGTGGCGGGGAGGAGAGTAAGGGTGGGGAAGAGGAGAGAAAGGATGGGGGGGAAGGGGGAAAACTTGGGGAAGAGGAGGTGGTGGAGGAGCAAGGGCAAGGTGGGAAAGTGGGTGAGGAAGAAGGGGAAGGGGAGGAAGAGGAGGGAGGCGGAGAGGAGGAGGATGGAGAGGAGGGAGAGGAAGAGGAGGGAGAGGAGGAGGGAGAGGAGGAGGGAGAGGAGGAAGGGAGTTTGGATGGCGGCAGTGAAGCAGCGTCCACGTCATCATCATCGTTATCCGCGTCAGCAGTGGCCCTGATGACGTCAGACTACGCCATGCAGAACGTGGCACTGCAGATGGGCCTGCGCCTCCTCTCCGCCCAATCAGGGATGCGCATCGCCCAGGTGCACAGGTGAGCCTTCAGATGAAAATCTGGTGCACAGGTGAGTCTTCAGGTGAAGAATCAAGGGCACATGTGAGCCTTCAGGTGATAAAGCAGGTGCATAGATGAGCCTTCAGGTGAAAAAATAGGTGCACAGGTGCCTTCAGGTAGCTTTCAGGTGTTTTTAGGATGAGCCGACTGCTTAGCAGGCCTGATCTATCTTAGATTACTCCGCTCACTGTCTCCCCTCCCTTTGCTCCCCTGCCTCCTTTTCTCCTCTGCTGTCCCTTGCTCCTTGCTCCTTGCCCTTCGCCCCTTCCCTTTTCCTCTCCCCTCCAGGTGGGTGCAGCGCTGCTCTGCCTGCTCTGCGGTAACGCCCGACATGACGAGGGTCTTCTGTCCTGACTGCGGCAACGGCACCACACTCAACAAGGTGACGTGGCCTCCCTACTCGCTCTGCGTCACTTGTACAACTTAACAAGGTGAGCGGTCACCTGAAGGTGTACGGTCAGCAAGGTGAATAGTCCACAAGAAGATTTCGCTTCACCTGAAATGCACATACTCTCGTGCTCCCTCCCCACCTTTTCTTTCACACACACACTCTCTCTCGCCCCCCCTCCTCTCGTGCATGTGCTCTCTCTTCCCTTTCTCTCACACACTCACTTCCTTCCCCTCCTCCCACTATTGCACGTGCGTGCAGGTGCCAGTGACTGTGGGAGTGGATGGTGTGGTGCATGCAGGCGTGCACCTGAAATGCCCTGTTGTCTCTCTCATACTCACTCCACTTACTCTCATACTCACTCCCACTCCCTCATAATCTCTCCGCGCTTCCCTCACTTGGCAGGTGACAGTGACGGTGGGAGTGGATGGCGTGGTGCATGCAAGCGTGCGCAAGCGGCACAACATTCGAGGCAGCAAGGTGAGGCCGAGAGGGGGCGCTACAGGGGGGTAGGTGGAAAGGCAAGGCACACCAAGAATTGGGAGGAGCGAGTGATGAAGGTGGAAGGGTAAGGGGTGGCATGGGGGAGACAAGCACCCATGGGTGTTTGGGGAGTGGATGGCGTGGTGCATGCAGGCGTGCGCAAGAGACACAACATTCGTGGGTAGCAAGGTGAGGGAAATAGTGACACAATCACCAGATGAGGCAAGGACCATGACTACACCGGTGACTTCCCCCACTGACGTGCTGGCTCCTGACTCACTCGTTTACCCATGTTCAATCCCACCGCTTTCCCCATGCGCAGTTCTCCCTGCCCATGCCCAAGGGAGGCAGGGCAGGAGCAGCCAAGGACCCTGTCTTGAGGGAAGACCAGCTGCTTCCCAAAAACGGACGACGGCGATTCACCAAGAAGAAGTGCAAGCCCACTGACGTGCTGGCACCTGATTTCGTGACGTTCTTTGATGAGGTGGGCGAGGGGAAGGCAGGGGGAGGCGGCGCGGTGAACAGCCGAGCCGTGGTGGCTACGATTGCGGTAGGCGGGGACACGAGGAGAATGGCTGTTGCTCTGGGGTTGAAGGTTAACCCCAACAGGGTGAAGCAGGGAGGGAACAAGTGAGGGATACTTTAGCGGGTGCATTCCTGTAGTGGCTTGATGCTGACTTGTCTCAGGCTGCTTGCGGTGGTGCTGGGGGTCGTGGTGGTGGCGGCGGTGGTGGCCGCATTTGAGGTGCCTCGAAAGTGCGTTTCTGTAGTGGCTTGATGCTGACTAGTCTCGGGCTGCGTGCGGTGGTGCTGGTGGTCGTAGTAGTGGCGGCGGTGGTGGCCGGGGGAGGGGGGTACAGTATGAGGAAGAGGAGTGCTGGGACTGAACTGAACCGAGGTGGCTTTTGAGGACTTTTGAGTCGACTCAAAAGTCACCTCGATACCATACGAGGATGGCTGGTGCACTGGGCCTGGACCGGGGCTGAACAATAGTGGGGGAAGTGAATAGAGTGTGCTTTTGGCAGATTTGTAGGGGCACGGTTTAGGGTTGAGGATTGATGGGGATGTCTGGATTCAAGAAACGAAGAGCATGGATTGTGAAGGAAGTGGATTGTGGGTAGGGCCATTATCATTTTGATCTGCATTTCTTTGTTGTTTTCTATCAATGTTCTGGGGGTACCGTTACCCTAAATCAAACCTCCATGTCAAGGAAACGGAGGTACCGGTATGCTTACTGACCAAGTATACATTATTCATCAGCCCACTTCTGCCACTCACACAACCAAGCGTCCAATGTTCCCCATCTTGATTCACTACAGCACTTCGCATATGCAGTTCCTATAACGGGGACGAGCAGCAGCAGCAGGTGGAGCAGCAGGAGCGTCAGGAGAAGCACCAGGAGGAGGGGGAGAGCAAGCGGAGGGTCAGGAGAAGCACCAGGAGGAGAGGAGGAGAAGACTGCTGCAACCCACTCGATTCCCATTTGGTTAGCTACCGTGTTATCGACTACACACACACTCAGGCCGGGCCATACAAGTGTAACATGCCCTGGTTATTAGAGTAAGCACGGGCTCGATTAGACGGGGGGCGGCGGGGACGCCATCCCGCCCGTGGGGGGCGGGGGAGAAGCGATAGTAGCGGGGGGAGGCGACGCGGTTACAGCGGGGGGAGGCGACGGTGTAACTACAGGAGGCGGGGGGGAGGCGGTAACCGGCGTGGGCGGAGGCGGAGAGCTGACCACAGGAGGCGGAAGGCTGGGGGAAGCGGGAGGGGTCGGAGGCGGGGACTTGGGCGGGGATTTGGGGGAAGGCGGGGGCGGGGACGCGTCGCCGCTGTCGTCACCGTCGTCACCGCCGTCGTTGCCGCCGCCATTCGCGGGCGGGGCGCAGTAGACGTCATCGGGGATGAGGAGCGAGTCGACGAGGTGCAGTTGGAACGACGTGGTGTTGGCGAGGTTGGGTGCGACCATCGTTGACTTGGAGCGACCGCTGCCCGACCGAAACACCACCGTGAAAAACGCGCTCTCGTCCGACTTGAACACGGGCCTCTTCGCGAGCGTCGCGAACTGTTCGCACGGGATTGGCGAGGGGGGAATAGTTGGAACGCATGGGAATATTAGGCATGAGAACAGGTAGAAAGGTGGGGGAGGTGTATGCGCCTCAGACTCTTACTTACGGACAGAGAGAATGCGGCACACTCTAGCTCATGGACAGAAGAGAATGCGGCACACTCTAGCCCATGGACAAAAGAGAATGCGGCACACTCTAGCTCATGGACAAAAGAGAATGCGGCACACTCTAGCTCATGGGCAAAAGAGAATGCGGCACACTCTAGCTCATCCATTCCTATTCGGCATGTGTCCCGCTACAAGCATACCTTTCTATTAGCCGCGAACTCGACGAGCTTCGTGTAGTCGAACTTGTTTCCGAGAATCATATGGTATCAGAGTGTGGCGCGCGCTAGCGAAGGGTTATTGATGTACGGCGACGCGGGCGGCAGCGACTGCAGCGCGTCGGGGGACGGCACGAGGAACGTCGCGCCGCTGGTGCCGGCCTTGACTTTCGCCTCAAGGAGCGTCGCCAGCAGACCTGGAAGATGCACGGAAGGAATGAGAAAGCGTCAGCGCAGTCAGCGAAATAACGCTGACTACGCGAAGGGAGACAGGGAGTCAGGGAGCCGGGTAACTATGTAGTAGAGGGTGATGTACATGGGGGGGGGGTTCTTGGCGCAGAACTCAGCAGGAAGCGCAGCGCGGTAGCGAGTGTCACTAGTGCGGGCCTTGACGATTGACTCTGGGAATTTCTGCAGCAGACTTGATGGCGGAATGGAAGGCGAGGAAGAGTAAACACTCACTTCTGGCACCATGAACAAAGTAACACGCAATTCTGAGGCGCCTTGAACAAAGTAAACACTCAAATTCTGAGGTGCCTGAAAACAAGTTGATGTTTACCTGCTTTTTGAAAGAACCCTACGAACTGCTTCTGCTTGCTCAGCAACATCACCTGCGTGAACACCTTCTGCGCGTCAGCGAGGTTCACCATAGCGAGTCCGCCGTCCCCGGCTTCGGCCTTCTGTCATGCATTAAATTGGATCAGGACGTAGGACTAGCAATATGAATGCATAACAGAGCCGAGTAGGAAGGAAGGAAGTAACGAGAATAAAAAGGAAAGAACCGAGGCCACTGTGTACCAAGCGGGAAACTCAGCGGCCTCGCGAATAACTACCGTTGCCTCGCAACGGTAACCCCACGGCTCATACTTAAGCAAGCACCAGAAGATGTATCAGTTGCTTGCTTGTATGTTTCCTCTATAAGCAAAAGAGTTTATCCCTACCCCGCTCAAGAAGCGACAAGTGGAGGAGCCAATCCCAGCAAGTCATCAAAGGGGTTTCTAATCCCTGTCTCGTCAGTCAGCCGAGCTGTGTGCATATAGTTTGACGAGGCGGGCTGAGAGCTTTCAACATACAAGCAAGGAAGCCTACCGGCCACGGTAGGCCTACTTAGGATGAACGACCGGTTTAGACTAAGGTCAGGACATAGCTATAGAAGAGATGACATAGCAGCAGAACCCAGTTGGCGTGCAGCTGCAGCTACCTCCGCGGACCGGGCGCCGGTGGCGGATAACAAGCGCTCAGCCGCCTCGACCCCCAGAATATATCAGACCCCTCACCAAAGAGACAGAGAGCAGCGCGGTGGTATGGAGTCGTCCAGAGCAGTAGCGTCAGATCCCGGCGGGACGCCATACGATGTACACTGGGCAAGAGAGGCACGCGCTCGATGGGAAAATCGTCCAGCTACCACGTCACCAGGGAGAATGCCAGGGATGGAAACGGACCGTACTCCAGTAACGGCAGCTTGGCTGCGACGCCCGCAGGAAGGAGAAATGCGCACTCCGAGATATCGTGAGCTGATTCCAAGCCAAGCGACGGGACGGCTTGAGCCAATCAGTGTGCCCGACCGGAGCCCAGACCATCGGAAGACGTCGGGAGCCCCGCCGAAGCTGGAGGTCGCGGACAGATTTACAGGGACGCCGGGAGTGGGACCCACGTTGAAGAACTATCTGATGCAGTTAGAGACCGTGCAGTATTGCTGGGAACGGGATGGACTGGATCCGGCGGAGTTCTTCAGGCGGATGGTGGTTACACTGGCCGGAGAGGCCGAGACATTTTACCGTATGACGCGTCAAGACGTACTCGATGAGCTGGCCTGCGGAGAAATCGAGAATCCAACGGCGCGGTTCGTCGAACTTTTGAAGAAGGAGTTCCTGGGGCAAACTAAGGCGCGGGTAGAGGAGTTTCGGGAGTTTCGGCGGGGAAAAGACGAATCTCTGCTCGCATACTACTGCCGGCTAAGGGAACTGGCGGAAGATTTAGAAAGCCGAGACGAACTGCTGCTGGTCCGGAAGTTCGTACGGGGTTTGGACGAGGAACTCCGGAGCGTGGTGCGGAACACCGTCTACGGAGTGGGGGCAGATATCACCCTGAAAGAGGTGTACGGATTAGCGAAGCGCACGGAACACGCACAACGGATGCTAGATTTGGAAGACAGCGACGCACGGCCTAAACCCAAGTCGGCTTGGGCAGCGGCAGCGATAACGGAGACGCCAACGGGAGGCGCGTCAAGGAGCGACGCTCGCCGCTGTCACGAATGCGGGGAACCCGGGCACCTGAAGCGCGAATGCCCTAGGTTACCAGCCTGCGAGAATTGCGGGAAGCGGGGACACAAAGAAGACGCGTGTTATAGCCGGCGTCGCCTCGAAGATACGGCCAGCAAGGAAGAGCTACAGGCGGAGATCAAACGGTTGCAGCTGAGACTAGGGCAGAAGCCGCAGCCGGAGCTGAAGGCTCGGGCCATGCTAGCGTATGAAGAGGTCGAAGGGGAAGAGGAAGGTGAAGGGGAGTATCTGCGGACGGGCGGATTTATGGCGTTTCCACGAGACAGGGACGATTTGGAGCTCAGAATGAGAGGGAGTCAATCCTCCGAAAGCCGCACGAGCCGGGTGCGGGAGCCTCGAGGGAATCGGCAGGAAGGGAGTAGTACTTCCGAGCTGAGGCGCCACCCCAACGAACGGCAGGTGTGCCAGGCCTCGGTCCTGGTAGCAGAAAAAGGGAGCCTGACGGTGGGAGGGCTTCCAGTGGGGCAGGCGATCGTAGACACAGGTGCTCACTATGTATTGATCGGCAAAGGGTTGGCAAAACAACTGAAGCTAGACTTACCCGGGAGGCTCGTGCAGCGGGGCATTCTTCTCATGACTGCGGAAGGGGGTGAGCCGAAGTGGATGCCGCGGACAGTGCGGCCCATCGAGATCGTGTTGCTCCCCGGGACGGACAAGGAATGCTGCATCCGCGTGACCTGTGGCGTCTCGGAATCTGAAGACTATGACGCGCTCCTCGGCATGGACCTATTGTATCGGGTGGGGGCCACCATCTGCACTTGGCAAGAGAAAGTACTATACCGAGTCCATTACTGGGACCCCGAGAGCTCGGTGGGGACGCTGCCAGCGAAGTTCGTCAAACAAGAGCCGAGAGAAGCGTACGGGGCACGAGCCGCGGACTTGGGGCCGGTCCTAGACGACTGGAGTTGGGAGCGGTACGCGGAGGAGTACGAACGGCGGGTAGAGAGGAGGCACCAAGGGA